AAGAGATGCCCAAGAGAGGGTAGGGGACATTTTTGAGGAGAAAGCCTAGGCGTCAGGGAATGGGGGCTGTTGCTGGGCAGCTCAGGAATCTCCACCAATGGCCCAACATCTGGGGGCAGGGCAGATGATCCTTTGAAGATGAGCCAGAGGTTTTCCAGGGTGTCTGGGTGGTGTGCTGGGCCTTTGTGTTCCTTTGCATTGTGATCTCCCCTTAGCCAGGGAGGAGGGGGGATTGGGAGGCCTCCTGTGTCAGGGAAGCTTCCTGGGTGACTGCGCAGAGAACAGGCCAAGCAGACATCATGGTTCCCGGATGGTGCGCGGCCCTGGCAGATCAGCAAGGATGCTGAGGAATGAGCAGGGCAGGTGGGAGCTAGCAGTGAGGCTGGATCTTGTTGATTGCTGTGTTTTCTCGGCTGTCTCATGGTGCAACCAAGGGGTGAGCATCAGATCTTGCACTGGCAGCAAACAGGGGCACAGCAGCTAGACTGGCAGCAGCAGGGCTTGCAGCAGCTAGACTGGCAGCAGCAGGGCTTGCAGCAGCTGGTCTGACAGCAGCAGGGCTTGCAGCAGCTGGACTGGCAACAACCCCCACAGCTGGAGCCACAACCTCCCCCACAGCTGGAGCAGCAGCACGCTGGCACGCAGCAGCAGACAGGCTTGCAGCAGCTGGACTGACAGCATCCCCCACAGCCAGAGCCACAGCTGGACTGACAGCATCCCCCACAGCCAGCGCCACAGCTGGACTGACAGCATCCCCCACAGCTGGAGCCACAGCCTCCCTTGCAGCCCCCACAGCTGGAGCCACAGCCACCCTTGCAGCCCCCACAGCTGGAGCCACAGCCTCCCTTGCAGCCCCCACAGCTGGAGCCACAGCCTCCCTTGCAGCCTCCACAGCTGGAGCCACAGCCTCCCTTGCAGCCCCCACAGCTGGAACCACAGCCTCCCTTGCCACCTCCACCACAGCTGGAGCAGGAGCAGGCTGGCACACAGCAGCAGACAGGCTTGCAGCAGCAAACGGGCACACAGCAGGTGGAGCCACAGCCCCCACAGCTGGAGCCACAGCCTCCTGAACAGCCAGAGCAGCCCATGGTGCTGGGAGCTTGGAAGAACTTGGTGTACACAGGGGTGGAAGGTCTCACGAGAGAGAGAGAAGGGTCAGTGGGTTGTGACAGCCCCTGTCTGCAGCCAGCTTTTATCCTGTGCTGCAGCAGCAGGGATGGGTGTGGGCACATGCTCACTTGCCCCTCACTCTGAACCCCTGCAGGAGCAGGAGCCAGCCCCTGCTGGCTCCGTGGCTTGTTGTTAGACCCTGGCCCCCTGGCTGCCATTGGGTCAGCCTCGGGCTTGTTTTGGGGCAGGCCTTGTGGCCATGACTCACCTAGAAGCACCAGGCTACCTTGATTGGCCAATGGGCATGTTTGGCTCTGGTCACAGAGACCGTGGGGTCTGGGAGCTCAGCGCAAGAGCCTCCAGGCCCCCCCCAGTTCAACCCCAGCTCACAAGATGATGGAGAGAGTCCAGTAGGCAGGGAAGAAGCAGGGCATTCCTGGAGATTTGTGGGCTGGGGAGAGCAGGCACGGGCATGGCAGAACATGTTTGGCTCTTCACCCCTACACACATGGCCCAAGTCAACAGACTGAGAGAGGAGCCATGGCCAATGCCGACTGAGAATGGTGCTGCAGATGAGGCAAAGGACCCAGAGGACCTTGCATCAGGGAGAAAGGGGGGAAGAGCACAGATGGGTGTTAAGGGATCATGGTCCCTTATGAGCTTTGTCACTTGATATCGGACTAGTGATTGCCCGCCTGGAGAAGAAAGTGAATAAGAAGGCATCCCTGGCAAAACTGGCAGTTGGGCTAGGGGTCCCAGGTCCAGCAGAGCTGATGCAGTTGGGATGGTGAATAGCTTCCCAGTGGCACCAAGGCCAGACAAGGCCACGTCTTGTTAACTGAACAATGAGGCTTCACCCTTATTGCTGCCATCATGTGGGGAGAGTGGTCCTGTCATGACCTATCAGAGGCAAGGAGCAGAGCTGCAGGGGTAAATGACATGGAATCTGCACATCTGTTGGAGGCAGGGAGATGTATGGGGAGTCTTGGCATTCCTGGATTGTGGGGGAAAGCAGGGAAGTCTTGAGGTTACTGGGGTAGTGATGGGGAATGGAGCTGGATGGAGGAAGAAGACTGTAGTCATCTCCTAAGGAAAGGCCCTGGAGACCAGGAACTCTCCCACTTTGGTTCATGGATTCCCTTGGATGTAACCCAGAGGTGGGCAAGTATGAGATGATTTTTTGTGACCTTTTAAAAACAATATTTCATTTTCCCCCAATTACATGTAGAACAATTTTAACACTTCTTGTTTTAAGTTTTGAGTTCCAAATTCTAATCCTGTTCTTATCTCCTTCTTTTCTCTCTGAGAAGGTAAGCCATCTGCTATAGGATATGCTTGGGCAATTATCCTATGATGGAGGAGAGGAGGGAAGGAAGGTGTTAGATAAATATACCCAGCACAGAGTGTGATAGGAGAAATAGAATGCAGACTGGGAAATACCCTGCCTTACAGGAACATTGAAGGGGAAGGGGGTAAGAGAAGGGGGGGGAGATAGAAGGGAGGGCAGATTATGGGAAGGAGTATTCAGAGTGTAAGCCATCTTAGGGTGGGGGGAGGGACCAAACAGGGAGAAAATTTGGAACCCAAAATCTTGTAGAAGTGAATCTTGAAAACTAAAAATAAATAAATTAATTAAAAAAAAGAAATCATTCTATCACATTTAAAACTTAGGCAGTTTAGAAGCAAATTACTTGCTTTTGCTGTTTTAGGTGATTAAAGTTTAGCTATATTTTATAAGTATATAGAGAAATAAGAAGCTGAGATTTGTGATGAATCATTTCAATAAATAATTTGATTCCTTTCAAAAAAAATTAAAATAAAAAATAAAGAATAAAGCAATAGGCTGCAGAAAGGGAGTCTAGCCAGCCAGTTAGAGAAGTCATCAGAATGCTGCAGAGCTGATCCCTTTGCGTGAGCCAAGCTGGGTGCCAGCCAGTCCCACAGGCAGGAATGGATAGGTGACAGGTAAGGCGCAAAGAGAGCTCCCAGATCCTCCCGGGTACGTCTGATTTTCTTCAGCCACCCATATGCCATTGATGGTGTGGCCCCTCTGCCTTCCTTCAGTTTAGTCCTAGTTTATGCCTTGATTCAGTGGAAGTGTCTTGCAATCATTCACATCCCCTCCTCATTCACATTGCTCACAAGCCCCCTTGGGATGCTAGGTGGCGCCATAGGGCACCGAGCACGTGGCTTGGTATCAGGAAGACTCCTTTACCTGAGATCAAATCTGGCTTCACACATTTCCTACCTGTGTGACCATGGGCAAGTCTCTTAACCCTGTTTGCCTCAGTTTCCTCATCTGCAAAATGAGCTGGAGAAGGAAATGGCAAACCACTCCAGGATCTCTGCCAAGAAAACCCCAAACGGGGTCATGGAGAGCTGGACACGACTGAAAAGTGACTGAATAGTAACAGTTCGCCTTTGAGCGATTGGTTAGATAGCTCAGTCAAAGAGAGCTTCTCCCCTGATGGCGGGTCGGGTGTGAGCGGGGGATGCCCATCCTCTCTGCACAGATATTGCCCACTTTCCTCCCTGGGGCATTCTTCAAAGCCCTCAGGATCACTGGCCTTAGCTAGGTTATTTCCTGCTCCTCAGTGTTTTATGAGGCCACACCGTTTTAATTTTCCACCTCCTCCCCCATACCATTTTACAAATGAATCTGTATTCTAAGCAGCTTCTGTCCTTGGCTGCCGCTTGGCGAGGACACGAAAAACTCCTGGTGGGAGGCATATTCTGGGCCCTTCCAGTCTTCTGCTTTGAGGACATGGTTTTCACCAGGTAAGCTGCTGTGCTGAATGACTCTCTCGTGTTATATTTTCCTTTCTTAACCCTAAATTCACGCTGTCTTAACTGTGCGAAGTCCCTCAGATCTGGCCCAGGAAGACCAAGGCAGACTCATGCTGGAACCCCAATGAAAGCCACCCAACTGAAGGGGACCTTCCTGAGGGCTTCGTGAAGGGAGAAAGGAACTCCCAATAACCAGAGCTGGGAGTCCCCCCACCCCCTTTCTCTAAGCCTAAGTGTTGTCTCCCCAGACTCTGTGTGTACTTGTGGGAAAATGTTTTGTACCAACTGTTTTTCCTATAACACCTTAGTAAACATCTTTTTAATTAGCTTTCTCCAGCTAATTAATGCTGGGAAGCTAGTAATAAATGGAAAATACAGCAGTTGGGAGTTCTCAGCACCTCATGGTTCCCTCTGGAACCCTGAAAGGAGAAAGACACGTGACCCTCTGGAGCCCATCCCTTGAGTTGTTAGTGGGAGTTGGGGAGTAGCCCTGGTGGGGGAGGGGGTGGGTTTCAGAAAGGTTTTTATCTTTAACTCTTTACTACCAAGGAGAGCTGAGTCATGACATGTGGGTTATTTTCATAGCCCCAATGTGCTACAGCACAGAAAGAAATGGAAATGGTACTAATAAAATACATGTACCCAGATAAATAGACAAAGTATGTGCCAAATAAATAGGAAATAATACCAAGGTGGTGGGGGGGGGGGGTTAGGAAGGAGGAAACAGGATGACATATGCTTACCCCAGGTGAATTCTACTGTCATGGAAGATGTCCAGTTTCAAAGGTATCAGAGTTCTGCAGATGGCTTTGGGCCAAATGTACCAGACCCTGGAATACTGCAGAGCCTACCTGAAGAGATCCATGACCAAAGCCAAGTAGAGAAGGATGGCTCATTGTCCAGATTCCATGTGGATTGTCTGTTACTGGGTTTTTATTTCTAGAAAGGTCTGCAGAATGATTTCACAGAACAAAATGTTCAGATGCTTTTGTTTTGCTAAATTTCCTGGGATGTTAGTGATGCTAAGGTGGTGGCATTTTTGCCTCCAATGGATCTGACACTTGGATCTACAGGTTTTCCACCTCTCTCAGTTGCTGTTATTTTCTTTTTCTTTTTTAATTAATTTATTTATAATTTTCAACAATCACTTCCATAAGCTTTTGAGTTTTAAATTTTCTCCCCCTCCCTCCCCACCTCCTTCCCCAAGATGGTGTGCAATCTGTTATAGGCTCTACACATAAATTCCTATTAAACATTTTCACATTAGTCATGTTGTAAAGAAGAATTAGAACCAATAGGAGGAACCACAAGAAAGAAGAAACGAAAGAAAATAGAAGAAAAAAAAGAGCAAATAGTATGCTTCAATCTGCATTCAAATTCCATAGTTCTTTCTTTGTATGTGAATAGCATTTTCCATCATGACACTTTTGGAGATGTCTTAGATTCTTGCATTGCTGAGAAGGGCTGAGTCTATCAAAGTCAGTCATCATACAATGTGGCTATTACTGTGTACAACATTCTACTGGTTCCTCTCACTTCACTTAGCATCAGTCCATACAAGTCTTCCCAGGTTTTTCTGAAGTCTGCCTGCTCATCATTTCTTATACCACAGTAGTATTCCATTACATTCATATAGCACAACTTGTTCAGCCATTCCCCAATGGATGGGCATCCCCTCAATTTCCAATTCTTGGCCACCACAGAAAGAGCTGCTATGAATATTTTTGTACATGTGGGTCCTTTTCCCATTTGTTTGCTCTCTTTGGGATACAGACCAAGAAGTGCTATTGCTGAGTCAAAGAGTATGCACATTTTTATAGCCCTTTGGGCATAGTTCCAAATTGCTCTCCAGAATGGTTGGATCAGTTCACAACTCCACCAACAATGCATTAGTGTTCCAATTTTCCCACATCTTTACTGAGTTATTTTCTGAGCTGATTTTGGTTTTGGTTTTGGTTTTTTTACTTATCTGTGTCCAAAGTCTGAATGTCCAGCGTCTACTGTTGGGCCCATTGATTAGTCTCAGATTTCCTCTTATGGTGCTCATAGCAGTCACCACCACCCCCCACCCCGAGTCTTTTTGTTGAGCATTTAAACATTTGTGCTTCATTTTTCCTGTGGTTTTTAATGTTTACATTTTCTTCTTGTCCTTCTTCTTTGTTTCTTCAAAGTGTTAATCTTGCTTAAATTCTTTAAAGGTATCCTGTTCTTCTGAGGACATTGCTCAGAATAGCTTCTGGGTTTTTTCTGTCCC